TTTCCAAGGAGTCAATATCAGAACTGAAATTAGCACTCAGATCTGTCCATGTAGTCAAGACACTATTCCACCCGCTTTAATTTTGGACTTATCCTTTTCCCCAGTACTGATCCTGGCCTAGCACCCAAAGCTCATCCTTTACTAGTAAATGACCCCAACCAAAATTAATTACTCCTATGCAACAAACTCCCCATCATGACTGACTGAAATTCACTATTATGGATGACAATTGAAATTAACCACTAAATAATCCCCAAACCAATCATGGCATGATTTAACTTTATTGCTTATCGAACTGTGATATGAATTCCCAGTCTGAGCTCCAGAAGATAGACGTCAAATAACCCCATGTTGCTAAAAGATTTTCAGGGCTAAAAGTTGTTTTTTATTTTTAATTTTCAAAATTATGCTGTGGGTTGGAAGCAAGGAAAGCTATATTCTGATTGACCGCTGTGGCTGTGCTCCTTGTACATTCTTGGGTGAGGAGTGTATGTGATAGCACATGTGGGCCCCCAAAACATACTGCTGCCCAAAAAGCTTTCAGATTTGTGCACACAAATTATACCCTGAATGGGATTTGCCCTAACAATACCTAAAGAGCTATTTGATCTGAGGAAGTGGGTCTGGCCCACAAAAGCTCATCATCTAATAAACCATCTTGTTAGTCTTTAAAGTACTACATAGTCCTGTATTTTGTTAAAGAACTTGTGTCTTACCCAAGTGAGTCACTGTCATTAGTGAGCCCCTGGACTCAGTGACCCTGGAGGGTCCCTTGTCTAGGATTGGAAACATAACTGAGCTACCCCTGTTCAGAGGATAGCATGTAAAACAATGCAACCTCAGCGAGGATCCTATAGTCACAACCTCAAAGCTCACACTGTTGTGCTTAAGGGGAAAGGTCAATTTTAAAATAATAAAGCTGGAAAGCGTAGGCCGGATGGAAGATGCACTGCTGGAATAGGCCCAGGAAGCAATGCAGTTATGTATTTTCAAAGTACACCTTTATTTATGTTGGGGGGGAAGAACCTAAGACCTGGGGGCCAGATGTGGCCCCGGCTTGCCTGGATCAAGCCCCTGAGGCTCAGGGCCCCTCCCAGCATTAGAGAGCCCACACTCGTGCCCCAGCATGAGGCTGGAGCACACAAAATCTAGTAGGCAGGGCTCCCCTAAGCTCTGATAAGTGTCAGAGGAATCTCTCTCAGTGTGGGTCCATGATAGTGAAGGCTTGTGGTTTTGGGGGGTTTTTCTTTTGTTTTCCACTTGTGTGTGGTCCCCAACTGGTTTTTCTGTGGGTCAGTGGTCTCCCGTTTCTGATTTACAGCAAAGACTAAAGGACAATCCTGAGACACTCAGCACACTTCACCAAACCAGAGAACTCAAGTGTTTCTCTGTGCTTCCTGGAAAAGTGATTTCCATACTGCCCTACCCATATTCCTCAGCCAAAGGAACCTTACCCAACAATACACCCCAGCACTAGCTAAATGCTGCCAAAAAGACTCATCCATTTTTCTCCTAGTATTACTTAGACCAGTGTTTCTCAACCTTTTTTTTTTTTAAAGTACCCCCCCCTTTTTTTAAATGTATAAGTACCCCCAGTACCTACAGTTTTCAGACAATTTTTTTCTACCATTACAACACATTTGTTTAAACAACTGAATCCTAGTTGGGCAGGTGATGAAATTTTTGGGTGTAAAAACTACAAAAATAAAGAGCTGTAAAAAAACAAAAATTAAGTTCTCCGAATTTCAATTGTGTTGACATATCCCCCCCGACTTCCCTTGAGTATCCCTGAGGATACTTGTACCACTTCCTAAGGGTACTCGTACCACTGGTTGAGAAACAGACTTAGACCAGCTCACTAGATGGTAATATGAATAGATAAAATGATGGGGGCAGGGGACAGGGATAAACTGAAATTTTAAAGGCGTACAACTATTTTTTCATCCAGAGCTTAGCAAGACTCAGTACATGGCTTATTCAAAGGACCCTTAGAAATTTTGGCTCATGCAGCACTTCTCAAATGCTTCAGAAACATTAAGTGGCTTGACCAAAGGCCCTACAAGGAGTCAAAGATGAGAACTCAAACTACATTTCTCTGTGAATGTAGTGGAATCCTTGATGTTAGACTCTAGCCTCCAGCTGAGCAACAAATAATTGTAAAGTCTACTTTACCCTGTACATATCTGCTCAGTGGTCTTTGAAATAGGCAGACTACAAAGCCAATCTTTTTTCTCTTCTGCTATACGGAGACTTACCTCTCTGCTGTGATCTTACGTACTCATTAAAGAGGCAGCTAGGCGCTTTACACAAATTTTTAAAGAAAATTTGTACCCAATGGCCTAGTATCAGAACTTCTCCCAGGCAGAAGCCACAATGAAAATGACTTGTAAATCCCAACAGTACCCAAAGGGAGTGCCAATATGCTTGCAAGAAGCAGGATTTTCAGAGATTGTTATAATGGAGAGAACCAGTCCAAACTTTAGCAAAAGTGGGTAGCAATATCTTGTGTTCTTTTTCCTATTGCTGAGCTTTAGTGCCACTAGCTAGAGCAGTGCTCACAAACCAGTAGCTCAGAATCTACCTGTAGGTCTTGAGCCTCTGACAGGTGATCCTGACTGGTTTGGCTGGGAGATTGTCAAGCACTGGGACTTCAGCTACTTCTCCCTACACTGCTCCTGCCCAGAGCTGCCCCTAGGAGCCTCCTGCTTGTTGTGCAGACAGAGGCAGGGCCCCCCCCCCCCCTTCACATAGTGAGGAGCCTCAGCAAAGGGGTGGAAGGAGGGGTATTTGGGTTTTGAGGTAGATCCTGGACTGAAATTCAGAAAGTGATCTTGTACTTAAGGTTGGAGACCATTGAGCTAGCAGGGTGGAGCATCTCAGGCCCATGGGCTAGATCTGGCTAGAGGCTTGCTGGTGCTCCAGATCCCTCCCCCCACACCTCCCTGCAGGGCTGGAGCACATAAAATCCAGCTTCCCTGAGAGCCCTTAGGTTCTTGTGTGCAAGAGGAATGAGGAGCATTTGCTGCTGCCCAGTTAGGGGGGGAAAAACCATGGTGGACTGGCCCCCTGCTTCTCATTCATGAGCCCCTGATTTTAGTGTGAGACCATGGCTAGAGCTCTTGGAACAAGTATCAAATTACTGAAACCAGGTCTGCTTTTCAAATTGTCAGTCAAGTTGCATAACACAGGTATAGACAAACTCTGAACTATGTGACAGGATGGGGAAGCTTTTTTAGGTCAGGGCGCACAACGCAAGAGTGAAAAGCCCTGAGAAGGAAGGAAACACTTTTACATTCCCCTCCCACCTAAGCTCCAGCCCTGTGGGTTAGGAGAGCTAACGCAGGGAGAATCCCTGAGCCATGGGGCTCAGATCCAGGCCAACATCCCCAGCCCTAGGCTAAGCTAGCTAAAACCCTCAGGCTTCCTTCACTTTTGCACTATTAACAGGAGGGCAGGATAACTATAGCAACAGACCCCTTCTGTAGCTTTTAAGTGGCTATATTGCAGCAGTTTGGTGCTTTATTTCAGGGCTTAATACATAAAACTAGCTGCATTTGATTCTGGGCGTAAGTCTAAAGTTAGACTCAAACCTATACAAAGCTTAAATGAGACTTTTTTGTAGGCCTTTAGTCTAACAGCCTACATAGTGCTTTAACACATTTCACTTTAGAATCCTAAGATGCTTAAGCATGCCTGTGCCAACAGCTGCCACTGGGAGTGAGTAGCTGCGCCCTATTTTTTTTGTTGCACCTTCATATGAAGATTAAAGGTGTTTACTCTTCTATAGCCTCACCAGTATCCAATTTTACTATTCAGACTGCCTGTAAGGGTGGCATGAAAGCAAACCCTTTGCTTTTTTGCTCAACAGGTAAACTGAATGTGGTCACTTAAATTTCAGTTCAAATTCCTTAAGCTTGCACCCTGAACATCTCCCAGAAGTTGAATTGCACTCCCACTTGCAGCTAAAGAAAGCTACTCAAACTATCTTCCACTGTTATGCAGCTTGAATAGCGTTAAGATGCCACATCTGTGACTGAAGTTTGATCTGTCTAATCAAAAACCCAATAGATTAAGAGAATTGGACAGCTGACTTGCAATCCAACATTAAAATAATGCTTGTAGTTCTCCAGGATGAGCTATCATTTGATTTGTCATTGTCATGCAAGTTGCTTTACATACTTAAGGAATTCTGGGTAAATAAGCCACAAGTTACCACCTTTCAAATGAAGTTAAGACTAAGCAGTGATGCCAATTAAATAAGTTTTATTCCTTAGCACGAGTTGTACTTCCAATTGTTTACAGTACTGATAAAGTGCAATGGTGTTCACCTTCCCTCCCTGTGCACATGTTCAAGTATTCAGAATGCCCAGAAACAATTTATACAGCAGCTGAAATATGGAATTTTTAGACTGCCACTGCACCCAGCCTTGAGTCCCTCAACTCTAAGTAGCCAGCTGTAGAATGCTTCCAATGCATTTAATCTACTTCCTCAATGGTTGGTCCAGATGAGGCCCCTCCAGATGGGGCAGCTCCACCTCCAGGGAATCCCCCAGGCATGCCACCAGGCATTCCTCCAGCGCTCTGGTACAGCTTTGTGATTATGGGATTGCAGACCTTCTCCAGCTCCTTCTGCTGATGTTCAAACTCTTCTTTTTCAGCCGTCTGGAACAGATCAAGTTGCATAGAACAATTAAGGACAGCTCAAGAACCTACCTACTGGGTATTCTAAGTTGTATAGCTCTATAGCATATAAAATACAACTCAGATCCAGAATTAGGCATTTAAAGGAATTAAACCTATAGCTCTTCTGCTGAACTGACACTCAGTTCTCGTCAATTTAGTGTCGTTAATTTTCAGCACAGTACTTCCTGAACTAGAAAGTGAATGTCAAAGCAAACAGGTAAACTGGGAACCCATTATTCTGACACGGTATGTTTAAAGCCAGACTTTATACCAACAAGGCAAATCCCTTTTATTAAGGCAGTCTTTAGAAAGCTTGGTCGCTCAGACATCCAAGGAAGGTACTTTAAGCCAACATAAGTCTTTCGACTTCTGGTGGAAACTACGAATGGTTTTTGGAGTCACTTTCATCATAGCAACCATTGCCTGCCACCACAGAACCTAGGAACCCACCTTTGATTTTGGTACTGCCATCTTCTGTAGGCACTGCAGAAAGACTACAAAGATGCCACCAATGGCAGGACAGACTTGCCAGTTTGTTGCTGCACACTGAAGTGTGCTCATTTTCAGGTTAATTTAGCAGCTCTGGAAATAGTTGCTTTTGAAAGTCTGATCATTTGACTCAGATATGTAAAATTAACATACCTGATTCTTATCCAGCCAGTTGATAATTTCGTTACATTTGTCTAGGATTTTCTGCTTGTCTTCACTGCTGATCTTGCCCTGGAGCTTCTCATCTTCAACTGTAGCCTTCATATTAAAGGCATATGATTCTAGAGAATTCTTAGAGGAAACTTTGTCACGCTGTTTCTCATCTTCTGCTTTGTATTTTTCTGCTTCCTGCACCATGCGTTCAATGTCTTCCTTGCTTAATCGCCCTGTAAGAAAGTTAATCAGATTTAGACTGTTGCAACAAGGCTTTTGTAGACCTCATTACTGCAAAATGAGTTCAGAGTATCTATACTATTCAGCAGTACCAATGCCACCCCTTGGAGGAACTGTATTGAGAAATTGAGTTCCAGTTGTGTCCCTCATGTCAGGGGCTGCACCCTTCTACAACTGCTGCAATGTTGGCTCAGTCTACACAATGCCTACCTTTGTCATTGGTAATGGTGATCTTGTTCTCCTTGCCAGTGCTCTTGTCCACAGCAGACACATTCAGGATGCCATTGGCATCAATATCAAATGTTACTTCAATTTGAGGTACACCTCTTGGAGCTGGAGGAATGCCAGTCAGCTCAAACTTGCCCAGCAAGTTGTTGTCTTTTGTCATGGCTCTCTCCCCTTCGTAGACCTGCCATAGTGGTTAGAAACAAGGACCAGTGACAGATTAGTGTTTTATTATACTGTTAGTTGCAAGTTAGCCTCTCCAACTACTTAATCTCTGATCATAAAGCCAAAACCTGTTCACTTATGGTCGCTCAGACATCCAAGGAAGGTACTTTGTGCCAACATGGGTCTTCTGACCTCTGGTGGAAACTACGAATGGTTTTTGGAATCATTTTCATCATAGCGGCCATTAGTTATCACTTTCAGCTCTGAATGTAATTATGTCCAGTCTAGTTATGGAATTAATTCCATGTCAGTTCAAACTGAAAACTGTTTAATACTTACCAGTCTATTGCCTCAATGCTGCAGCAAAACAGCACAAAGAATGAGCCCCTTAACTGGTCTGCCCTGCCTTGATACACACCTGAATGAGTACACCAGGCTGGTTGTCAGAGTATGTGGTGAATGTCTGAGTCTGCTTGGTGGGAATTGTAGTGTTCCGCTTGATCAGGACTGTCATGACACCACCTGCTGTTTCAATACCCAGAGACAGAGGAGTGACATCCAACAGTAGCAGGTCTTGTACATTCTCAGACTTGTCCCCAGACAAGATTGCTGCCTGAACAGCTGAAAGGAAAGTAACAATTTGAAGACCTTGCCAAGAAACCCTTCCACCCCCAAAGAGAACCACTTCAACTGCAAAACAGTCTCTTTAACTTGCTCAGACATCCAAGGAAGGCTTTAGCCATCATCAGTAAACTTCTGGTGGAAACTACGAATGGCTTTGGAACCAGATTCATCACTGCAAGTAAACTGGGAACATGCTCTCTTGTAATTAAGTTGAAAGCTGCCCAAGTGACTTGGCATGGATGCCATTAACAGTCAAAGGTCACTAACATTTCAAGCCATGGTTAATGGCTAGTATGTTCCCTATTAGTCTTTGGGGCACATGGCTTGACCGCTGAGAGTACTTTAAGTGATTCAGCATTAATAGCCCCAATAATTTATCTTTTAGTTACCTGCACCGTAAGCCACAGCTTCATCAGGATTGATGCTCTTGTTCAGCTCTTTCCCATTGAAGAAATCCTGCAGGAGTTTCTGAATCTTGGGAATACGGGTTGATCCACCAACCAGTACAATGTCATGGATCTGTGATTTGTCTAGTTTGGCATCCCGCAGGGCCTTCTCCACAGGATCCAGAGTGCCACGGAACAGATCAGCATTTAACTCTTCAAAACGAGCTCTGGTAATTGAGGTGTAAAAATCAATGCCCTCATAGAGCGAGTCAATTTCAATACTGGCCTGAGTGCTAGAAGAGAGAGTACGCTTAGCACGTTCACATGCTGTGCGTAGCCGGCGAACTGCTCTCTTGTTCTCAGTAATATCCTTCTTGTGCTTACGCTTGAATTCAGCAATGAAATGATTGACCATACGGTTATCAAAGTCCTCCCCACCTAAGTGGGTATCACCAGCAGTTGACTTCACTTCAAAGATGCCATCCTCAATAGTGAGGATTGAAACATCGAAAGTGCCACCCCCAAGGTCAAAGATAAGGACATTCCTTTCCGCTCCAACCTGGAAGGAAGAAACATTGGATATTGGAGATTACCATCAGCACTGAGCTAATTAGGAAAGATTGTTTAGCTGCATTATGTATTTTAAAGCTTCCCCTCACCTTCTTGTCCAAGCCATAAGCAATAGCAGCAGCAGTTGGTTCATTGATGATCCTGAGCACATTAAGACCTGCAATGGTTCCAGCATCTTTTGTGGCCTGGCGCTGGGAGTCATTGAAGTAGGCTGGTACCGTGACCACTGCATTAGTAACAGTCTGAACAGGGAGAGAGAGAGGGAGGAGTCAGTCATCTGTTATGTTCTTATACCACACATGAAAGTATGAACTCCTAAATTCCTCAAATTCTAATAAAGTTAGTTGAGTAGCTCAAATCTCACCTTCCCAAGATATGCTTCTGCTATCTCTTTCATCTTTGTCAAAACCATGGAAGATATTTCCTCTGGATAGAAGCTCTTGGTCTCCCCTTTGTACTCAACCTGGACTTTCGGCCTGCCAGCATCATTCACCACAGTGAATGGCCAATGTTTCATGTCCGACTGGACAACAGCATCATCAAATCTACGACCGATCAGCCGCTTTGCATCTGAAAAGAGTTAACTATTGTAATTAGCCCTTTCGCAAAAGGAAACAAGTAAAATTAACATTTCAGTTCTATTGTGTTTAAGGCCATGGGAAGCAACTCCACAGTATCAGGTGAAAGGAATTATGAAAACTGACTTATGGCATGAACAGATTTTAAGCAAGATAGCCTACCAGTATCAGGACAATATCAAAAATCTCAGCTTCATAAGAATGGAGGGGTAGTACTGTTCCTCCTCCCCACCCCTACCTCAATGTCTTATGCAGTTCTACAGATCTTATGCAGCAGAGTACTGATGTTAGACTTTAGCTGTTTAATTTTGTTATGGTGGTTAGCCTGTATGCCAGTTAAAATGACTGGGACTATATAATAAATAGAATGAGAATCTGAACTTGTCCCTCATGACAGTTAACACCAGCGTGCTGTTAAAAAAAACTTAAGCAATGTTACCTAAGGAGAAAGAAAGGCTGTCTACACTGCACAGTTCTCATGCAAAAACTTGCAGAGCATCTACATTGCATGCACATTCTTCACAACTAAATTTACAGTAAAGCATCAAAAAGGCTTCTTCTGGAAAAGTTATTCCTTTCCCCATGAGGAATAAGCCCTCTTGCACAAGATCTCTTCCACAAGAGGGCAGTGTAGGCAGGCAACCTGAATTTCTTGCACAAGAAAGCCCTAGGACTAAAATGGCCATCAAAGCTTTCTTGTGCAAGAGCATCCACACTGCCATGTGCTTTTGCACAAGAGCATCCATGGCAGTGTGGATGTGCTCTTGCACAAGAGTTGTGCAAAAGGTCTTCCACAAGCCTGTAGCCAGAGTGAAGCATTTAACTTCCCCTCCATATACATTCAAGTTAGAGAGCCCAATTTTGGCTAAGACTCTCCACCTTTTTTCCTTAAGTGCCTTGTTAGCTAAGCAACAATACAGCAACTTTATTCAGTTCAATAGTGAAATTGAACTATTTAGGGGAGGGATAGCTCACTGTTTTGAGCACTGGGCTGATAAACCCAGGGTTGTGAGTTCAGTCCTCGTGGGACAAATCTATCAAGGATGGTATTTGTTCCTAACGCGAGGGCAGGGGACGACTCAATGACCTCTCAAGGTCCCTTTGTTTTATGAACTAGGTATATCTCCATATACACACCTACAGAAGTGCTACAAATCCATTTTAAAAACCTCATTTCTTACCAAAAACCGTGTTGGTAGGATTCATTGCAACTTGGTTCTTTGCAGCATCACCGATCAACCTCTCTGTATCTGTGAAGGCAACGTAACTTGGCGTGGTCCTGTTGCCCTGATCATTGGCAATGATCTCCACCTTGCCATGTTGGAAGACCCCAACACAGGAGTATGTGGTGCCAAGATCAATTCCAACTGCTGGTCCCTTAGACATTTTGCCTGTAATGAGAACACGCTTTCAGTTCGTTAGCTAAACTTTACTAGATCTATCTATGTTAGACTAAAGAACTAAAGTATTATTATGTATACTGTGAATTTCAGGAGTCTAACATAAAATGCCAAGAATAGTGCAGATTAGCAAATGGGAAAAGGTACAGGATACTGTACCTTTAAGAGACACAGAACAAGGAAACAATTAGTAGCTAAATAACTCATGTCTACAGGTTTGGCCCTCAAGACAATATACTGTTTTAGTTCGGCTAGCAAGACACCCGGGCAGGATACATAATCCCAGTGTGTTGTAATTGGAGCCACTGGGCCAGTAAACACTGAGAATAGAGGACCAGGAGGGAGCTGCGACTTAATCTGCACGCCAGCCATGGCGGGGGGGGGGGGGGGGCGGGGG